TACCGGTTCCTTGTACTTGCAATCAGACTTGCTTTCATTCACACTTCACATGCATGCAAACAGGTTGCGCAGCAAACTGGAGTCAAGCGCCCACTCAGAACTCAGAGATATAGTACCAAGAACGCAGCTCAGATACAAGTTCACTTCAAACGGTTATGGCGTCACATCGCCTGTACAACTCTCTGTTCGTCACTTACTCAACACTGCTGTTCGCACACAGGACCACCCTGGATATCCAACACGCAACACCCTGTACACTCGCACACACCCGCACACACCTACAGCTATGGCGGCTACGGCCGCTGCTACTCTATCGCTATGGCTAACTTCCTTCTCGCCCACTTCGTCCTCGGGCTCACTGGAGACCACCTCGCACAAGTCGCTATGGCAGCGCTTCCGCATGGCTTACGCAGGAATGAATGAATGGCTGGGCGTGGCCTCTTGATTTATACTTCTGTAACTCGCTGGTCTGCCCTTTTCCATCGGCCCATGGTGCACACAGTCCCTCATGGTACTTGCTGGACTGGACTGGGACTGACTGGACCGGTACTGCTGACTGCATGSGTTTGCACCGCAGACTCACTGCAGTCGCACTGCCAWCGTACCRAGGTTGGCTCCACCACTTGCCCACTTGCCTCTGCCTAAACRTGAGCCCACTCCGAAAGGCCACTTCCGKGACCTTCCGGAAGTCTGTGGACTTGGCCTTTCGGGTACTGTAGCAGCTACGACCTTGACCTTTCAGGGCTGTAGCAGCTACGGCCTTGACCTTTCAATAGACCTATAGCTACGACCTCTACAGAGCTATGACCCCTACTCGACAGACCTACAGATCGAATCCCTACCTCTTCACAGTCCTAGGACAGACAAGCAACAACTAACAAAACACAGGTCACGCGTTCAAACACTCAGAGTCAACTCGATACTTTACACAGGTAAGGTCAGAACTAGGGATCGAGCCCTGGGATTGTCAGCTGCCCAAGAAAACAGCAGAAAGGATGTAAAGGTACTGGTTCCTTGTACTGGATAAACTTACAGGTAGGGAGGGGAAGCAAGTCCTCCTGGAGCATCTCCTCCTTCGGTCGTATCTCAGTGTGACAAGACATGAGATTGGTCGCAGGCACCAGTGCTACACAGAACATTGTTGTGGTTGTTCATTCAGTTAGATGGTTGTCTGTATTCGTCTCTTTTACACGGTGTGGTTGTGTAGACTGTAAGCTATTGCTGTAGTGTAGTATGTGAGTAGGTTGATTATGTACCCCTTCATCGGTTAATATCCATCCCCTCACCACCTACTGAGTTGATTATGTACCCCTTTCTCGGTTGATATCCATCCCCCCACCACCTACTGAGGTGAGCCGCTTCTAACACCTGTTACATACACTGCCACCTATGGCTCAAGGGTATGCAAAACCTCATGACAATCACCGCCCTCCAAGATGATGCCCTGTAGAGCAGTGCTCACAACCCCTCCAGCAATCAACTCCCTTCCCCTACCTATTAGAGAGGTGCACCGCTTCTACATCCTACAACCCTACCCTGCCACATGCGACTCAGGGTATTCACAACCCCTGATCTGCACCCACTCCCTACAAGGACGCCCACTGTCTGCCAAGATGACCCACCTTCAACAATTCTCCTGGTGCACCCCATACTCCCTCGGTCGTATCTCAGTGTGACCTTACCCGACGTTGGTCACAGGCACCAGCGATAGGCAGGATATCTCATCCATCCCCCGAGTACACCCTAGATGTCCCTAATCAGTTCCTGAGCTGATTAACCTTTGGGGACTGCGGCCTCTTCAGCCGTGGAACTACCCAACGTGTTCATCCTGTACAAGGGTAGGCCGCCTGCATTTTGCAACAGCCCTCAGCCTTCATTCACTGTGTGTAAAAGAAGAGATTTATGCGTCAGATATGGAGAGGATTTTGTCATGTTCCTCATTGGGATGCAGGAGGTCGAACACCTTTTTCTGGAAGTTGACAAAAGGGTTCAAATATCACCAGTTTTGGCACTGAGAGAGAGAGGGAGAGGAGAGAGAGGGTCAGGCCCTATGGGAGTTGTAAGCTGCCTTCAAAACAGACACTTTGCCACACGCTTCTTACGTGTGCAAGGAAAAATAAGCAACAGCGAGATGACAATCCCAGATCACACCATCACATTGCAAGTCAAATAGTCACACCGTGTCCAGATAGCAGCATTGCACCAATAATACACCAATGGAGTTTCGTAGCACTGAAAACCAATGTCCGTGGAGAGCACACTCTCTCCCTCAACACACGAGTCCAGTTCCCTTACACTCACACTTGGCGCTCAGCGCACAGCCTACTCCTACACAGCTACTACAGACTACAAAAAGA